CAGCCGCACGCCCCGCCACCCGCCTCCTACCTGCCGCCTTCCGCCTTCCGCCTCCTACCTGCCGCCTTCCGCCTCCCGCTGCAATCTGTTTCCCGTCATAGGCTTTACTTTAAGAGCTGTGCACCAAAATGTAAAGGGATGTGCGCTTGGATTGAGGAAAATCTAACTTGAACTATGCAGGTAGAACGAGGACACACCATTCTAGTTCATGCAGCTGCTGGCGGGGTTGGATCACTTCTTTGTCAATGGGCTAATGCTCTTGGTGCGACAGTGATCGGAACCGTATCTACAGAAGAGAAGGCTGCTCAAGCTAAGGAAGATGGATGCCACCATGTAATAATCTACACCAAGGAAGATTTTGTATCTGTTGTCAACAATATAACCTCCGGCAAAGGGGTAAATGTTGTCTATGATTCAGTTGGGAAAGATACATACCAGGTAAACCATGATGGTTATTTCTGTATACATTTGTCTAATCTTACTGGATTTTAGTTATTATTTTGGGCTCTCTTTCTCAATATTTTGGTAGCATGAACTACTTATAGCTTCTGAACAGCTCCATGGAGCAGTTCTGAGTGTCTAGGATTAGATGATTCAGTTTTTTTCATGATAAATATCCGATTATTTATTGTGCTTAATTTACTGACTTAAAATTATTTTCTTCATGCCCCTTCTTTCAGCATCAAATAAGTTCAATTTGGTTTGAATGCATGAGATTTGGGTTATGTAATCTTAAGCTCTTTTTTTGAATGCATGAGATTTGGGTTATGTAATCTTAAGTTCTTTTTTTTATTACTGCCATTATTCCAAAGCATTTAAGCCAATGATACTTATTGCTTAGGTAATGGTGAAAAGGTTTTATTTCATGTGATACTAAATTCATATCAGCAATATGGAAGATTTAGAAGGTTTTATTTCATGTGATACTAAATTCATATCAGGAATATGGAAGATTTAGATACATACCACTCATTTCCTATGTATTTACATATCTAACGCCTAAACTTCAATTTATATATACATACCAACTTAACTATGCTTGAAAAGGTGTATTTCAATTTTTAAAAGTTGAAACGGTGGTATGTTTATGTTATATGAAAGATTTGGGTGGTATAAATGAAAAACGTTAAGTTTAGGTGTTAGGGATGTAAATACATAGGAATTGAGTTGTGTGTGTGTAAATGCCCCAAAATTATTGATTTTGGATACTAAGCATTTTCATGGCTATTACCATGAAGTATATATATTACTTGTTACTATCTACAGCTTTTGTCTGAGCTGAAAATTGATTTGTATGTAGGGTTCTCTCAAATGCTTGGCATCTCTGGGTTACCTGGTTAGTTTTGGCCAGTCATCAGGTCTGCCTGAACCAATTCCACTTTCAGATCTAGCCCCAAAATCCCTGTTCCTCACTAGGCCATCTCTCATGCACTACACTGCAACCCGGGACGAGCTGCTCGAATCAGCCGGTGAGGTCTTTTCTCTCGTTTCATCTGGTGTGCTTAAAGTTCGTATCAACCATATCTATCCCTTGTCCGAGGCTGCTCGAGCTCATGCCGACCTTGAGGCGAGGAAGACGTCTGGGTCTATTGTGTTGGTTCCTGATAATGAGTTGTAGAACTGAATTTGGGAGTCTTGCAGATCAAAACTTTAGTGCTTCTCAGCTAAATTTCTGTGAGAATTTTATTGTGTTGGTCTTTGATTGTGAGTTGTAGAGCCGAGTTTGCTAACGTTGGAGATTTGAAGCTGTTAGGTTTGTCTCAGTTGATGGGTTATAAATTATGTGATTTTGATATTTGGTGGTGTCTTAGCGGGTGCTTCATGGCTATGAGAAATGCTTATAAGAATATTTTGCCTTTGTTAGAATAATGGCAATTTTATTGTATGTTGTGCATCTTTATAAAACAATATTACTTCCATTGTCTATTGTTCTTTCTATTTGGATGGTTATATTGAAAGAACATTGTAATCATTGCATATAATCTCATTCCAGTGATTTGTATTCCTTTTTCTAATAATTTTCTATGAGAAGTTCATAACTCTAGGTCCAAATATGAGGTTAGGAGGACTTTTGTGCTTGTCCCTGACTGTGATTAGTAAGGGCTATTTGGTTCCAAGTATCAAGAATGTGTTCAAACTAAATGCATGAGTTTCAAATTTTCAAGTGTTTGGTTGGCAGAAAGGTGATTACAGTAATTTTTTCAAGGGATCTGTGATTTTCTACGTATTTGATTTTGAACGTGTCATGTTTGGATTTCTCCTAATTGCAACTGCTCGACCCAAAGGGAAGAAAATCTATATCCTTGAGCAGTGCATGTATTCGAAATTCTTCAGGTGCTTCATGGATATTGATATAAAGCTCCGAACTTTTGTATGGTGACATGAAAAGGCTCACAAAAGCAACAATTGGCCATCTCAGCATCAGAACCAAGTCCAAAAGTCTTGTGCAGATCTCTGCGCTTTCTTAACATATGAAATTTTCTTCCTTTTTAGCAACTGTTTATCAGGCTGAAATGAGTCCAAGGCTCCATCTTTGCCGAGTTGGTAAGTCCATACTGTTATCCTACACAGTCTTCTTCGACCAAATGGATGCATTGGTTTATATCACCATATAGACCAGGTAGTAGAGATCTGCAATTACTAATGTTGGTTGATGTAGATTCCAGGCTAGACATAGCACAGCAAGGATTTCCGAATAAAGTTTGGTCTATTAAAACAAACGGCATCATATTAAGGTAAATATCCTAAAATCATTCCTTTTAAGCTTTCTATGTGCCACTGAAGACAAATCTACAATATCACGTATTGATATATACCTGGAAGGATTAAAAGTTAAAAGTAAAATTATTCGAAATCTGGTTGGTATACAATGTCTTTTCTGTATTGAAAAAAAAATATAAATGTAGCGAGTTTACTGCGCTTGAACACAAGTTTTCTGATGCAAAATCTTCACATACTTGGTATACAATGTCTTTTCTGTATTGAAAAAAAAAAATATAAATGTAGTGAGTTTACTGCGCTTGAACACAAGATTTCTGATGCAAAATCTTCACATACTTTACAGTGCAGGTATTCAATGTCATTTTGATATCACAAGCTAGATGAATAAATTTTTTGAGGGCCAAAAGCTAAAACATGGTGTGATGCCATCTGCAACACAAAAATGCTTCTACTAGATGAATCAAAACCCCTCAAAATCTATAATAAGACTGAGAATAGTAAAATAAGTAGCATTGCCTCTTTTCTGATCCCCTTGTTAAAAGTTTGCCATTTTTCCCAATATCTGCCGACTATTTTGGCTTATATTTCATGGATAGACATTGAAAGCAATAATACCGTTTCTTTTAAACAAGTTCAAGTAACAAAGTAAATAGTTTCTGAATCACATTCAAACTTTAAATTATAACAAGGCTATATAAAGCGATATATATTTATCATTTATTAGAATAAAAATTGTGATATTTCTTTTAAATAAGGTGTATTTCATTTAAAAAAAATATTAAAATTGTGATATTTTTTATATGATTTATAAGAATTATGGATAAATATAAAAAATAAACTTTTAAGTGTAAGATATGTAAGTAAATATATCAGAACTATGTACGTAAAAGCCCCTAATTTTTTTTGTATATGCATAGTTAACATGTAAAATTCAATGTTTATATTTATAACACTTTCGTATTATAAATTTATGCATTTTTAAAATATTTATAAGCGCGATATTTTTTATGTGAATATGTGATATTAAAAATTTAGGTTTATACTTGTAAATATTTAACTTTACGTGTTAGTTATATAAATATATAAGAACTATGGCATGTATGTAAATGCTCTTTTTAAAATAAATAAAATATTTAAAAAAAATATTTTAAAAAAAAGAAATAAGCATGATGCCGTGGTTTTAATTTTAATTTAAATGATTGACATCGAATTTTATTTTAAAATAAATAAAATATCACTTTATTCAAGTGAAATCACAAATTACTTCATAATAATAGCATAACTTTATTTTTACTCAAAAGATTAATAAATAAATAAATTACCAAATTTAATCAAATTAAATATAAGAAAATAAATGAATGATAAAATCTGAAAGGATATATTAAAAAAAAGCAATTAAATAAGGAGAATAAATTATACTAAAAGCAAGATAATACAAAATAAATTTTGAAGACTTCAATATCAAAATAAATCGATAAGAGACGTAAAAAATGTGTAAAGTGTCAAAATAGTCTAAGATTATTGACATGAGCTGTTTTAGTCTAAGAGTTTATAAAAGTGCCAAAATAGTTCATATTTTTTTTTTAATTGAGTTCTAATAGTCTTCTATTGGACCAATTTAGCTCCAATTTAAAGATTCGGGGATTTTTTTGATGCTCTTATAAACTCGGAGACGAAAAAGACCCCATATAAATATTTGGGACTATTTTTACACTTTACTCAATACGAAAGTCACGTAGAACTTTGAAGGAGATGATGTAAGTCAACATTTATAGCTTTAAAATTTAAGATTGATGTATGCTAGAAAATTCGTGACAGGAGAGTAGCAGATTATCATCTTAACATAGTATGAAGTTTCAGCAAAGGTAAAAATCACACGGCTTAGCCCAACTGAAGCGTTCCACTATAAGTGATTATTATAAGTACAACTTATTGTCCCACAATTAGGAAAGTGCAAGATCTCCCAAGTTTTGAAGTGTGGATGAATTTTTTGTAAGGAACGTGCCACAACCAATAGCGATCGACAGCAGCTAGCAGGCGGTGGTCGAAGGTGATCGACAGTGCCCGACGACGATTGAATACATTCAACGGCGGTCAGCAGTTTTCGACTGTTGCAGGAGTGTTCAACAACGATCGGCGATCATCGAATCGATGAAGATCAGCGGTCATCGACGTCAATTGACGGTTATCGACGACGGTCGGCAGAGGTTGACGACATTCAGCTATAGTCTACGATGGTCGGTGGTGGTCGGTAATGGTCAGTGATGGTTGAAGAAGTTAGAAGTAGTGTTGGATTTAAGCTCTTTCTCAAAGCTTTAAGTTGTTCCCTATGCTTCAATCTCTCCTCAATTCTCAAGCTTTCTCTCTCCGCCCTCCCTTATGAGAAGGGCGAGGTTCTATTTATAGTTCTAGGTACAATTAATACAAAAATATGAATCACTTTGATCGGACGGCTCATAGAGCTTCGCTCAATCAGACGACATTTGATGGACATTTGAGTGATCTTGGATTCATTTGATTTCTCTTGTCAATACTCTTGATTTGACTATAGACTCGTTTGAATCAACTTTCATTTGACATTCCAAATATGTCCAGAAAACTTCCGAAAAGGGTCTAATGGCTTGATTTATGCATGATTTGGTTAAGATTGGACCAATTTTGGTTACATTCGATTGTTTTCATCTAACCAATTAATTTGACTGTAAGTTTGCTAAATTTGGAGCTATGAATGACTTTTTTATTGAAGTTTGAATATTTCATGCTTAAAAAAATTATGACAAGATCCGTGTGATGCCTCATGATACATGTCGGATGACGGAAATTAGTTGATAGTGCTTAATTATTATTATTATTATTTTTCAATATATATATATATATATATATATAATATTATTTTAGCACATCATATAACATTCAAAAGAGAAATAAATAATTCAAAATTTTAACCACAAACAGTTTAAACTAATTATGATAATCATAGTGATGATTCATGCATAAATGTATCTTTACAGTCATATGCACATGAAAAGCATACAAAAATTCAACAGAGCTGAGACTGCTGGGTTCAAAAAGGTATGCTGCCTTCCCTTCTTATAACTTCCACCTAAACTGCGCCTACACACCCAACATACTCTGAAAATTAAAGACCAGCACACAACATCAGTTAATTTCACATAAAAGCAGCAATTCAACAAATAATAGAGGGGTATTTACATGCATACCCCACAATTCTCATGTATTTCCATATCGAACACCTCAAATTTCATATTTACATGACGCTCAAAATATTTAATAATACATAAAAAAGACGGCCATTATTGCATTTTTATAAGTGAAGTACATCTTATCCATGCATAAGATTAGGACAGATCGAAAGTGTTATAAATGTAAACTTTAGGGGCATAAAAATACAAAGAGATTGTGGTATGGATGTAACTTTCCCAATAATAAAAGGAGCATTTATATTCATACCACACAATGCTTATGTTATGAACATAAACTTTAGGATTAGATATATAAATACATATATACTGTGTGGTATGTATGCAAATTTCCCAATAAGAATAAAAAAGGGGCATTTACATTCATAACACACCATTCTTATATATTTACATATCAGACACCTAAAATTTCATATTTACAAACATAACACTCAAAACTTTAAAAATCAAATAACAAATACCACTATTACTTGATAAAAATGGAATGGGCTCTCATACAAAGTTTTAGAACATCAGCATCATAAATATAAACATGAAAGTTTAGCTATTAGATATGTAAATACATAAAAATAGTATGATATGCATGCAAATTCCCCATAATAAAAATATGTTCCGAGACCAAATCAACAAAGAAGAATCATAATTTAAGGTTCCAAATAACGAAGTTATAACATACAAGAAGAATACATCTACCAAAAGAATTGATGATTATGTAGCCAACTTTCATTGTCACATCCTCCCCCTACTTAAAACATCATACATACACATAAAAAGCAAATAATACTTAAAAACCACATCTTAGACTAAAAAAACTCCCTCATCGAACAATTCTACTAAGCTGCCTTCGGCCGAGCAGGATAATTAGCATGAAATGCAGAATGCCTATTCGCGACGAGCAAACTTACTCTCGACGAAAGCAACGGCGCGGCTTCTTCAACACCAGATTCTCCGATACTCAGCCGTGAGATGCCCAGAAGCTCATCCACCTTGATGGGAGACTTTGTATGTACAGGCGTTGGCTTCACTATTTCATGAGCCTGCATCTCCACAGTTTCAGCAGCACAAACAGGCCAAGGTGGGAGCATGAAGGGAAAGAATTGAGAGAAATAGGCAGGGTACATGACTTGATAACTACAATGGGATTCAGAAAGTTCTGGTTTTATAGCGTCTAATTCTTCGTCGACAGAATTAATTGAATCCAATGACTCGCATTCTTCTTCTTGAAGTAAAGGTGCGGGCATACAATTGTAGTCTTGTGATTCAGGTTCTTGATAGTTTACAGTAAATAACTCAGATTCTGCAGTCTGGTGCAATGGAATAATATGTTTAAGAACTCATTCACACAAAGTAAGCATCAGGTCTCACATGAGAGAACATAGAGAAAAATGTCAAAATGGTGCCTTGTAGGTGTCCATTTTAGTCCCAGTGTCTATGATAACGTCAATTCAGTCCCCAAATTCTTTTAATGAGGACTTTTTCAGCCCATATTAAAAGAGTCTAGGAATAATTTTACGCATTTATAGACCCCTAATGGCCCCATATAAATAGTTAAGGGCATATTTTGACACTAAGTATTAAAAATAGGGAGAAATGGTAGGAATAGGAGTGGGAGGACGGGGAATAAGAAGCTCACTTCATCCGGTATCATGTCAAAGAGGCTCGTCCTTCGTCGCCTTCTGTTGGCATTAGATTGGCGTATAAAATATTTTTGAGCGTGGCTGGCGACTTGAGTTGGCGTCCTTGTAATCACATATTTGCGCGATATCCCTCGCCAATCCCCTTTGCCAAGCTTTTGCAGACCAAGTAAAAACATTCGGTGTTCCTCTTCAGTCCAAGGAATACCTGAAAATCACTCATAATTTTGAACAAGAAAACAAAAAATAACTTAAAAGTAAAATATAAATCACAACAGGTAAAAGAAACATTATGAATGAAATGAACAAATATGCAAAAAAAACTTGTTGAAAATTAAAAGAAAGTGAAGGAAGAATAATCTCATTGCAATTAGTGGCACACACTTAACTTATACAATCATGTAACAAAGAAATTAAGATGCTACCCCCTTCAATTATAATTCTAAAGTCCACTGACCTAGAATGGCACATTATTATACATTTATGCAAAATCTCAACGAAAGCTGATTATGATGAGCCGCAACTGCATCTTATTCATCCAAAAAATGTTATAAAAAAAGAGCATTAAATAAATACCGCCCATTTCTTATGTACTTACATATCTAATACCCAGTTTTTGCTTTTAATATCGATACCACCAAAATCTTTCATATCACATCTTAAACATCACTATTTTAACTTTTAAAAAAAAAGTAAAATATAACTTTGCATGCATAGATATATATAAGAAATTGAAGTTTAGTTGTTATATACATTAATGCATAAAAATTGAGTTGTATGTATGTAAATCTTCCTATAAAAAATTACTAGCAGCTCCCTTAGCCGCATTAACACCACACCGAAGAACCAATTCAGTATGACGAGGAGAAATATTCCTATTAAGTGATCTCTAAAAAGCTTATTAAACAAATTTTGCAATGCTCATTGGCTAAATAAAAGACTTGTTACTTATTATTTATTAAATAGACATTTTTTTCAACAACAATTCTCAAAATTTCATCAGCCAACCCCATTTTTACCGTATGGAATACATAAACACAATAAAAAACATATAAATAAGAAGACAGGTACTTAGTATTTTGACAATTTTATATATATTATTCTTCACTCATTTTTAAATAAGAGACAAAGTTGTATAGAATATTATAATTTGATTTATTACTTAAGTTTCATGAATGAAAACATTAAAATTATTAAACTTATATTTATAAAAGTATCTTTTCTTTTTTTAAATTTTTGAGAAAATCTTCTTTACCACCCTACCTTGCTATTTATATGTAGAAAAACTACATATGGTCAAAAGAAAACTAGTAGATCAACTAATCCAAATTATACCCCGAACCAATAAGATATTTGGGGCATGAGCTTACTCAAACAATCTCAGGCTCTAGTAAAAAAACCATTAATCAATCTTATTAAATTATGCCAGCCCTATGTCAAGATAGCCATACAACACCCATAAATCATGTCATAGGCAAGGGATATATAACAAACTAACCCTTTTAACTACAAATATATGTACTAAGAAATGATGTTGAAAAAATATTACTTTTAAGTGAGTGTTAAAAGTATTTCTCTTCCTTCAAATCCAGTATTATGGTGGGTTTTTTCATCTTGTTAATGCTCTATAATAATTATAAAAAGAAAAAAAGGAAGAAGAAGAAGAATTCTTCCATTTAAACCACCCACCAGTAAATGCAAGAAGAAATTAGGATGTTAAAAATGTAAATATGAAGGTTTATATGTTAGGCTGTTAGGTATGTAAATACATAAGAATTATCTGATATGCAAGTAAATGCCCCAATTATATAATGATTCATGCCCCATGTATGGTTGTCTCCACCTCTCATTATTGTTTGCAGCAATCCTTAAACTAAGGCATTTTTGTATAGTAACTTTGGTTGGCTTATTTACTTTGCAATTTAAATTTTCAAAAACTATTGACCAAAATTTCATTGAAAAATGAAAAAATTTTTTCTTCATCAGTTTAATTGAATGAAAAAATTTAAATTTATTAACTTTATTTAAAAAACATAATGTTCTTGAGAGAATCTTCTTTGTTAGTGGGTACATATATACACAACGAAAAACTAACTCTACCATTAACTACTAATCAATCTAATATAAGAAAATAGTTTTTACATACAAACCACCCAAAACATTTAATATAACATTTTAACTAGCTTGACTTTAAATATAACATTTTAACCACTTTTCATTACAAACACTCTCCATTACTCACTAGTGAATGTTTTGAGTGAAAATTTTGGGTAGTGAAAATGTTATATTAAGTTTTGGATGGTTAAAATATTATATTTAAAGTTTGTATTAAATGTTTTGAGTGGCTGCTTCGTGAAAATCCCTATAAAAATTTAACTTTAAATAGAACTTGTACAAGTCATCATTATAAGAGTATACAGTATTTTTTTCAGAATACAATTACAAACATAAATAACATGACTCTCTAATTAATGAAATAAAGCCTTTACCCAGTGGAATCCTAATAAACCAAATGTCAATACCCAAAGGCAAAAAATTCCATAATATAAGCACGTAAAAGAGTCCATGTAAGATGTCGAAGAACTGACTAGACGAAAAAAAATTATTGTGCTCAAATAGTTAAACTATAAAGAATACTAAATTTTAGAATGTGGATTATGGAACAAGAAATGTGAATGCTTTGATTCAAGATAAAAATCTTAAACGGAAACGGAATGAAGAATTTGTTAACCATTATAATATTTAAATAGTATTTGTTATGGAACCATAGCCACCTCATCATCCTCCTGCATAAATTTAGACAAACAAATTGATTTACACGACTCCACAAGATCATAATGTTTTGTTCTTAGCAAGAATTTTACCTTGTGCACTATTGTACAAATTTTATTCCTGAAATGCACTAGAATATTAATTCTTAATGGTTTCTCAAGCTTTGAAATCTCTCTTGTATATAAGTCAAACTAAACAAATAACGTTAGAGAGAAATCATACTAATGATTGGATACACTACCACAAGTCATACATAGAAATATAGAATCATAGACTATTTATGAAGTCCGTAAATATTAATAGCTACAACGAACCTGAAATTGCTTGTTATCTAAGAGATTAAGATGGTATAAATCTTGGGCTATGAAGTACGGACATGGATACTACACGACACAATATGCAGACACGACATAATTGAAAAATGGGACACGTCAGGCCATGGACACGTTTTATATTTAATAAATTATTACAACATATATTATGCAAGAATAAAAATTAACTTCATAAATTTAATTTATATTATAAAATCCAATGCTTATGAAAACTAATTTTTAAAATTAAATATAATATATTTCAAAAGAAATATCTACTTATAATCCAACTAATCTACTAAAATTTAAAAATTCTATGATTACAAAGAGGGAATTACTAATGCTCGGCTTCGACGAATGTTGAATGCACTTTCGATGCTTGAATTTAATGAATTTTAGATGGAGCTTCAACATGAAGAGAGATGAGACGGTTTCGATTATGAGGCATAATTATGACTATACCTATATTTATAATTTTCTAATTTTCATGTCCCATTTTTTCAAAATCATGTTATGCTCACATCTGATGTGGTGTCGAGGAGTGTCCCGAATGTGTTCCAACCTGAAAAAAAATTCTAACATATATTTTGTAGTGTCGAGGCATGTAAGACAAATGTCGGTGTCCGATACGTGTCCGATACAGGCACAACACAATTTTAGAAGTATCACTGCTTTATAGATCTTGGGTCTCACTCTATTTGTTGCAAGCAAAGCTACAAAAACCACTAATTCTTACCTCAAAGAGAATTAAAATTCTTTATGCATCACTACTCTAATCTTAGATTGATAAGTTTATTTACAAAATGATTATAATTGAAAGAATTTTCTTAATATTTTTTATTTAACCTAGGATTTAATTAAATTAATTACAGAATGATTATATTTGCAGAAATAAAGAATCACATTTGCAACATGAAAGCATAGTATGCATGGAGAACTTGTTTAGATTATTATAAAACAATAGCGGACGGGATGCAAGTAGAATGACCCTTGTCCTTATTACATTTAATGCAAAGGCCCGAAAATTAAGAAATATGGTGCACATGAACGGCTACAGAATTTTAAAAAAAGATTCAGAGGAATGACTCCAAGTTATTTTGTATGAAAATACAACACTAGAAGTTCATGATTAAGATCCTCATCAATCCTATAATCAATAGGTATAATCAACTATAGGATAAGATTATCAGCTAAAATGTGCATTTCGTTCATTTGTATTGATTTTTTTTTACATTATTAAATTCTTATTTAATTACCTTATTTTTAAAAAATGCCCCATTAACTTTTTCCTCAATGTTCTCCCAGCTTCAGAACAAATTTCATTCTGGTTGACTTCTGGTGATTGATAGTATTCTTTCTCGATAGATACCTGCTAGATCCAAGTATTCTCCTGTGTTACTGCTGCTTTATGTTGATCTCTTAATTATTGGGCGGAGGTCTAAGTGTATGTTTTTGCATTTCAGTTAACTTCAATGAAAAAAGAGCGACCTTTACATTGTTATAAAACCATTTCTTGTTCACCTCTTACGCAAAAAATCATTGTCAATTTCTCATGATGGAATCCTCGTATAACCCTAAAATCACACAAAGGAATTAGAAAAATACTAAACTAAAGTGATAAGTATACAATCAAAGATTATCTTCAAATTTTCTTTTGATAAACGATGCCCCTACCTCCTCAAATGATGATTCCACCTTCTTTTACCACAGAAGTAAAAGAAGAAAAAAGAAAAATTATGAAGATCTTATTCCTTTAATTGAGCATTAAAAATCGATTGATATCACAAGGAATGATATGCCTAATCCAGGCAATGGAGCAACCATCATCCTCACATTAGATTAGAACAGACAGAAAAATATCCCCAAAAGAATAGTAGGAAATAAAACTTTAAAAAAAAAAAGAAAAACAGAAGAAGAGGAAGATAAAGAGCAAAAACCATCCCAGTGCAGAAATACCATTAATCCATAATCTAACCTCTCTTCCGTTCGCGACAGCTGGTGGACGACCCCTGCACCGCACCGCGCTCACGCCACGGTGCCTCCTTGACCCCGGCCCGATCAGCTCATTAGGGTTCTTGTTAGGGTGGGGAGCGGAGAGAGGGATGAGTAATCGGATAGGGTTTGAAAAGGGAGGAGCGACGAAGGTGGACGAAAGGAGTCTTCGAGTTGGTGGCGATTACTGAGGAAGAGTCGTGGCCTACTCTGCCTCTTCGGGACTGATTTTGGCCCGTCCACGTAGCGAATTTTGGAAACCGCCGGTGAATAAACCACTTGAATGTTTAATTTTATTTTTTTTAATGTATCACGTTAATTTAATTATTATAAATATTTTTTAATTTTATAGATATTGAAGGATATTCGGGGATATTTATATCACCCAATTATAATTTATTTAAATATGTTAGATCTAAATTTTCATATTTACATTCAAAATGCTCTAATTTTTTATATTATATTAAAAATATAACTATCACTAATTTTAAATCCATATTTCAAACATAATATTTATTACACCAAAAAGTTATATATGTAAATATAAAATTTAAGTATTATATGGAATAAAGCATAATGAGGGAGAGAAAAGGAGAATCAAAGGGAGAAGTGAAATGATATAATTATGTTAATCTAGTGCTATTACATTTTTTTGTCTTACTTCGATGAGGGCTTTTTAGGATATTTTTGGTAGTTTATAAAGGTGATGTACTGGTAGGTCTGAAGGTCTTAGTTCATTTGAATGTATCGGATCAATTTTGCCGGTCTTGATTCATCTGATGTATCTAGTCGGCATTGTGACACCGGATTTTATGTTGGTAAACCTTTCTTTATTGTTCTCGTCTCCTCTATTGTCAGTTTTCTTTAGGAAATGGCCATTTTTTAATATACAATTCTATTAATCCAAAATAAACACTTATTTAATTCCTAGGACTTATTATTCAAGATAAGTAATTTATTCTGAAACACGACCAGCATGTTGACCGCGGGGTTCGACCCGCAGCTCACTTTTTTGGATAAGCAGGCAAAACGGGCGATCTAAACGATACCACCCCTGCACTTATAAGCTGCCCCAAGCTGGCCCTATATTTCATTAACCTTAAAGGAATCATTTACGTAATGGATTAATTAAAAATTTTTATGCATATGCCTTTTATTTTTATTTGGTGATATTGTGCTATGTTGTGTCTATATCATAAGTTTACTATATGATTATCACTTAATAAGAATTTTTAGGGTATTAATATGACTTGGGGTGTATTTGGCACATCAGCAGTTGAGCAAGGTGATTCCACACCGCAACTACATTGTTTAGAGTACCGTCTAAGCCGATGTTCTCTGTTCTACCGTTGTAATTTTAAGAGTTCACTCGACTTGATCTTAAAATGTGGTATACCTTTCTCTTCGTGTTTCGACGCAAGATTTTTGTCCTTTCCACGCATTATCCTTCCCTGAGCTTTTTCCCGAGTCAATGTGTCTTTGATGCATCCAACATTTGATCCTTCAGTTTATGGATATGCTAAGCTACGAACTCTCTAGTGCACTCTATATTGGGTTTAGGGTTGTAAATGAGCCGAACACTATAGAGTCCAGGCTCAGCTTGAGTTCGACTTGTTAAAAAATATCATTGTTCGTGCTTGTCTCATTTATATTTAGAACACAAAAAGTATATTCGTGTTCTACTCGTTTGCTCAAATGAGCAGAAGACAAGTTATTCACGAATAAAGAGCCGTTTTGACAACCCAAATCATGCAGCCGAATGATGTTAAGGAGCAAGATTTAAATCTTATTATTTATATTAGAACATCAATTAAATATAATTTAATATATTAAATTATATTTTCAACTAATAATTTTAATTCATTCTAAATTTTTATTGCCTTATTTTTGGTAGTTTATAAAGGTGATGTACCGGTAGGTCTGGAGGTCTTAGTTCATTTGAATGTATCAGATCAATTTTGCCGGTCTTGATTCATCTGATGTATCTAGTCGGCATTGTGACACCGGATTTTATGTTGGTAAACCTTTCTTTATTGTTCTCGTCTCCTCTATTGTCAGTTCTCTTTAGGAAATGGTCATTTTTTAATATACAATTCTATTAACCCAAAATAAACACTTATTTAATTCCTAGGACTTATTCTTCGTACCTTAAATGGTAGTCTAAGGGGAAAAAGATTTCCTAGATATGTGATCAAAATTTTAATTATTTTAAGTTTCAAAAAGTTTAATTTTAGTATAGTGATCATAAGCACATTCAAAAATTAGGGATACTCATCTTCTTATTTGTGATATGATACACACTCACCATACCTTATTGGACATTGAATCATCATTTGTTTGTGAATCACACTCAATGAGTATAGCTCAAAAAAAGGAGAATGACAGAGATGAGTGAACAATAAACCGTTGTATCAATCATGTCTTGTTATGAAATAATCTTTCTATTTATGGGAGAGAGTATAATATCTCTATGTTACATGTTTGCCTTTGTCTTAAAGGGAATGTAGTGCGTATACTTGGTATTTTGCATGTATGAACTTATCGTCTGACTAGCCTATAGGTTGGCTGAGATTTGCTCGATTGGATGAGATTAGCTCGGTCGGTTGAGTTCGGTCGGTATGAGTCGACTGATTAATATAGTCTGATTGTTGATCTTTAACCCGTGACAGAGACCCTCTGAATATCACTAGGATTGTTGGAGATGTGATAGAATTGGATCCGCTCGTTCTTATATACTCGGTTCACATTTAGTTTGTCTAATGCTTTGGTCTACATTGGCCAATTGGTTTTAGCTCGACCAGCTTCACCCAGCCGAAAGAGGGTCACATAATCTTCTGTTGGTCGGCTCTCCTTCATCATATTTTTTTTTCTGGACCGTTAAATCTCCTCAGGATCAGCGCTGACATATTTTTTATGTACAATTATAAAATTAAAATTTAAATAATTATAAGAATATATATAATTTTTAATGTTATTGTTAGCATTATAGGATTTTAATAATAATAACAAAAAACAAATGATTTTTGTATAGATATCACATTATTAAGAAATCTTATTGTCAAAAACTCTTAATTATAAATTTTTAAAACATAAATAAATAAAAATTTGGCCAGATAAAATTGTGGCAGTAATTTATCAATTATAAAACATTATCCAAAATACACGCTATATAGATTAAAAGCAACATTTCTATAGTTAAATAAATAAAAATAAAATATCATAGAGCTTCAGCAAAAGCGCACGCCTTATTGTTATCTTTTGCTCGGTCAATTTTTTTATATTACATCATCATTTTCTATTTAAATAAATCGACTTAATTTATCCTGCTCTAGCATTTAATAAAAAAAATAAAAAAAAAACAATAAAAATTGAATTAAGAAATTAGAACTTGTTGGAAAGGGAAATAAATTAAAGAAAATTAAGCCCTTAAATAAGATTAATTTTGTAATTAGAGTATTGATTTTCTCTATATGAATATTGATGTATTTGGTCAATGGAAGAAAGAGCTTTTCCACCATCAACCTTCTTTTGGCAGTTTTGAATTTGTATTACTTGGGAATTTAAACTTTTTTTTGTAAAACAAGTATATAGAATTTTTCTACGATGAAGTAAAATAATCAGGGGTGCGAACGAATAAGTCGAGTAGAGCTTGAACCACCTACAGTTTGAGCTTGATCTTGACTAATTTTAGCAAGCTCGAGCTCGAGCTTAAGTCTTTGAGTTTGAGCAGGCTCACAAACCGATTTGTTTATTATAAAAAAGAGTAATATTAATTAAGGGTTGCGTTATAATAACATGACAAGTAAAATGAACAATTAGAAAAGAAATAATAATAAATTCTTTAATATAAAATACTTAATATTTTTAATAATTTAAAGATAAAGTCTATACATTTAATGTATATTTTATATTAATATATTTTTTTTAAATGAGCCGGCTCATGACCTGGCGAGTCTATTCGTTGTTAGTTTTAGCTTGGCTTTGTTAACTCACCGAGCTCAGCTCACGAGACACTTATCGAGCCGGCTTAGCTCACTTACATCCATATGAATGAGTATATATGGCCTGACCTTGGTGGTGAGGTTGTCACAAGAGGTCTAGAGACACAAAATTATAATAATTTTGTGAGTTACCTTTAAATTATACTCTTGCGCCTTGAAATTGAGAACTTTATCTTCAAATTTTAGCTTTATACTTCTTCCATGATGCAATTGGACTTTTTTTCACCTTATAATAATTTATAAGGAGATTGTTGCACTTTTATTACTTCTAATTAATAAAGTCCATGATAACTAATAATATGGATTTAGCTATGATACGTTACCAAAAATTCAACTTTGATCGGACGCAACTCATCATGTATTCTAGGATTGGAAACTACTGTAATTTAATGGAGGAGCATACAACCTCTGATCAACGAATTTATAGTCTAATCGAGTGTCTTAGAGAGAGGAATTTGACGAGCCTATAATTGTTTAGCTTTTGCATAAGTTAGGCACTTAAGCATTGGGAAAACACATGTGATCAACATGATCTTTTTGAGAAGCCCAATGAAGTAATTTGATTTTTGGTGATATCTAAGAAAAATGTCACTCACAACATTTATATATAGAGTCGTGCATTTTACAATAATAAGAGATTGGGGACTAAACCTAGAGTTGGACTAAAGAGTGGAGAGTACTCGGGTGTCTAACAATTTTCATTGTCGGACTGCCACTACCCATCGACCACCGTTGTATTTTGATCTTTTACTATCAATAATGTATGCTAGCTTAAACGAAATGACATAAGTTTTAATGCTTGCTTTTTTATTCCTAATTTCTCTTTACAATCATTTTTTGATTCATTTCTCGCCTTTAGCATGAGGGCAATCTATTCCTAACAATTGTTGCTACAACAAAGTTATGAAGGGTCTGATGGCCATGAAATTTAAAGTTAATAAGTTTGATTATTCAAAAGGTTTTAGGTTTTGGAGAACAAATATGCTTAGTGTACTTGTCCAACAAGTGCTTGTTAAAATACTCAAGGTGTGTAGCAAGGTACTGAAAACTATGAGTAAAGAAAATACATAAAAGAGATGAATGAGAAGATTTCTTAGCTCAAATTAGAGACTTTGTATATGAATCTTTCTAATAAACTTCGTCATAAAATAGAGAACTTACCTATTTGCTTCACGTGTAGAAACAGTTGCTATTAAGTCACATTTCACTTAATAAATAAATACTAACTTCTATTGTAAAGAATATGGGCTCATAATGAAGAATTACTTCATTTAAAATAGAAATCAAGATGAAGATGATAACCACGAAAAGAATAATTAAGTTGATGCAAGTACTTTTCTAGATTTCTCTAAATATTAACTCAATAAAGCTCTTTTAGTGATAGAAGATAATAGATGTAAATATAAGTGTACTTCAAACTCAGCTTATTATAATCACATGTATTTCAATTTCGATATATTTTGTACGAATAACGCATATTCTGACTATTTTACATTCGAAATGACATGCTAGATTGGAGGTCCTATCACTATAACATTAACTAAAGAACCATAGTGATATAAATATATCATTGGTTGAAGAAGAATTCAATATAGTTCGGCACTCTTAATGCTGCATGATATATCTTATATGGTGATGCTAACACCTTACGGTCTGTAAGGATGCATTGCTTGTCTTGAAGGTGAAATCAGTAAGTGAATTCTATGTATTGCAGACAATAATACTACATGCTGATATGTTAAATTAAATGACTTTGATGACATGTTTCTTACTTCAGAAAACTTCATGTCAAGTGAAATTTTCAAAATATAGATGGACATTAAATGATAAGAAAAAAAATTTAAAACAGAAGAGCAATGTAACAATAAGGCAAAGTTTGATCAATTTGCCATTTAAAAAACAAAGAAATCTATCACTAATCTTCACAGAATCAAAAAATACAACACATCTCACAGCAAGAAATTATATTACTTTAAGCATATATACTAATATAGCATGAACAATGATCTAATAACAAATTTAGATTTCCTTGCTCAGCTAAAAAATGGATTTTTACCCTTGAAAAAGAAAAGAGATGCATCAACAACAATTCTTTCTAATGCAGCCTGCAACTATGGATAAAAGATTAGCAGCAACAGCAGCTATTATAACTCTACAAGACATAGTATTAATCAATACATATAAAAGGAAAACATGTTTGCTATACGGTAAAAATCCGAAACATGAAATTAAACAATAGAAATTTAAAGGCAACGGCTCTATGAAACTGGTGGCGGTGGCTGATCCAGGCAATCAAGCACATCAGCAG